TGTCCGCAGACCGAGAGCAGGGGCCACACTCATGGAGTGGACCATCCAAACCAAGGATTAGGATGGCCACTACCTCCTCCACACTGGTCACCTTGGGGAGGGTGAGTTTATTGTGTCCTGGAGTCTGACCTCGAGTTTCCACGTGCCAGATCCCCCTTCCTGTTCTGGCGCTCTTGGCCTATCCCTTGAGCATCCTTCAAAATGACTTCTTGGGAAATGGCCTCAAAATGATTTCTAGCTGTAGGGCCTGGTGACAGAAGATAAATGAAACAAATTGGGAAAAACTTCAGGTCTTTGCTGAAAAGGATTTTTGGTGCAGTAGACATGATTGATTCATGGGTGCAAGACAGGTGACGTGACCGGGTCCCCCTGAGCTCTGTGTGAATCAAGGGTCGAAGGCTCTCCCAAGGGTGTCACACCTGCTGTGTGTGCTTCAGCATGGCTGGGACAAGCTGTAAGAGGCATCACATCCATCGCAGGCTGCTGTTTCTATGGATATGCGTGTCTGCAGGGCAGGTCTGGAAATCAGGGTCACGGCCATGGTCTCCAAAGCAGGGTCCCTAGTACTGCATGTTGGGCCCTGCCGGCCTCCTCTCTCCTCTGGGCTGCCAGCCCTGCAAGAGACTCCGGATGCAGGTGCAGAGTAATCACAACACACCTTTGGTTTATGTTTTCTTAATGAATAAAAAAAGCCTGTATTAATAAGCATAAAAAAAGGATTGGAATGCAAAATACACATAGGTCCCTTTTAGGATTAAAAAGCCCCAATGTCGACGGTGCAGAAAGCTCTGGTGTGTGAGTCCCTTTGGGGCCTGAATGCCCTGGGCCCAGGTGAGTCCCGCAGCAGCTTTAGGCAGTGTGATGGCCCAGGCACCCCAGTGATCCCTGAGACAGAGTGTGAGGATGCCACAGGCCATCTTCCCTATGGCGGAGAAGGAAGCACACCTCTCCTGTTTGTTTCCTGTTTAGAGTTGGTTTGCAGAGCACAAGGACTCGGAATCACTGTGCAGCCCACTCTGCAACAGAGCCCCAGGGAGCATGGGGCCATCTGTCACTTCTCCCAAGATATCCCTGCCACACTCGGAGGCTGGCTGTCCACACAGCATGACAGAAAGGCCACACCGGGCCTGAGAGGAAGTCAATGGGGAGTGGCTCACAGCTTTACAGCATGTCCTTTCCCATTTGGGGGCAGGAAAATCAAAAGGCAGATGTGCTCTTCACAGCAAGAAGGAGACCCTGAAAGGACTCTCAAGGGGCAACTCGGCACAGACTCAGGGCTTGCTGTGAGCCACACTTTCCCCTAGGACATGGAGGCCACAGTTTGCAGCTGAAAGCCACTGTCTTCCTGCTTTCCCCTCTCTGTATTTAGTATGCGCGGAGAGAGTTTACTGAGAAACCAGCCCACATCCTGGAGGTCCTCAGGCCACCTCAAGTACTACTGCTTCTGCACAAAGCCTCGGATGGTTGCATGTCTCATCAGCTCGTATGCGGACAGCGACCCCCCTCCCCACCACCACGATGAGCACACGCCGGAGGTCGGACACGCACCTGTCCTGGGCATAGCTGAAGGCCTCTAGGTACCACCCGTCATAGAGGAAGTGCCTGCTCACAAGGCACACGACCTTCCTGCTGCTCCAGACGGCCGCCTGCAGGTTGGTGACGTGGTCTTCCCTGGGCACGAAGTCTCTCTCTTCAAAGCACAGGTTCACCCTGTTTTAGTCATCATACTGGTCCCAGCACCACATGCTCTAGTCCCAGCCACCTCTGAAAAGCCCCACCTGGGACATCGAGACACGAGCTACATAACGCCTTGTCAATCCCAGCCTTCACTGATGGCAACAGAATTATTTATAGGTTCACACTACTCAGTGACACTTTGGACACACAGCAGTGGTGCTCTCCAGGATTACATGCACCTGAAAACCATCACTGTGCAATTTGCCTGCATCTTGTCTGAGTGAGGATGTTTGTGGTAATAGCGATCCTGTGGTACATAGCGATCCCATGCTGTGCCTGCACATGACCTAGGGGCTGTGGCTCCCGCAAAGCTCTGTGCACCAGGATCTTGCCCTTCCAAGGTGCCCCATGCACAGTTGTCCACGGTTCCCTTATTAAGTGGCACATGACAATATCGTGATGTGGGCAGACACCAGCATTAAAGATAAGACATGAACACTACCACCCCATGCTCTTCGAAGTTTTTAAGGAGTTTCATGGTTCTCTTGTCTTTTGCTTTTTTTTTTTTTTACCTTTTGGATGTTAATTATGTTCATAAACAGTGACATGAGAACAAGGTGGTCTAAGGCTCACACACTAGCTCTAGGTGAAAGGGTGACACACCCGATAACAACAAGGCTAGTATAGCTTTTCCCGAAATAGCCAGCTCTCTACATTCAGGGTGGCCATGTTCTGCAGAATTCTGCCACTTTCTGTAGAATTTCTGTACAAATTCTCTGCCGCTTTCTGTAGAAATACTGATTTACTCTCTGAAGTTCCCAGTGTTTCCTAGAACTGATTCAAATAGGGAGGACATGGAGTGTTCTATTTATTTCCAGGTAAACTCTTTACATTTCCTGGCTTCTGAAAGTTCTCCTTTCACAGATCGTTTTAAACATAGTTACAAAAATTTTCTATGAAACGCAACAAGTTAAATCCAACAGTACATCAAAAGGAGACACATTGTAATATTTGGGGTATCTCAAGAATTGAGTGTCCCTATCACAACAGATGGGGTTATCTCAAGAATGCAAAGTTCAGGGCCAGGGATTTAGCTCAGCTATGCGAGTGCCTGCCTAGCAAGTACCAGATCATGAGTTTGGTCCCTGGTATGAAAAAAAAAAAAAAAAAAAAGCAAAGTTCCTTTATAATTTGAAAATTAATGGGGTAACTTACCAAACTGATAAACTTTGTATTTTTTGTTTTGTTTTGGAACTGGGAATTGAACTCAGGACCTCATACTTCCCAGGCAGGTGCAATGCTACTGAGCTATATCCCCAGCCCCTGGTAAACTTTAAAAACATAACCTATATGTTGAACTCAGGAGACACCAAAACCAAACAATCACATTTTTGTCAAGCATGGTGGTGCATGCCAGTAATCTTAGCTACCCAAGAAGCTGGGGAGGCTGAAGCAGGAGGATTGTAAATTCAAGGCCAACCTAGGCATTTTGTCTACAAAAACAAAACAAAACAAAACAAAAAAAGGCTTGGGATTCCAGCTCAGTGCTAAAGGGCTTGCCTAGCGGGTATAAAGTCCTGGGCTCAGTCCCCAGCACTGCCACACAAAATGGTCAACAAACTAAGAATAGAAAGGGATATAAACCAGCCTCTGATACCATCTTACAGCTAACCTCAGGATTAGTGGTGAATAATTGGGTGCTTTTCCCCAAGATCAAAAACCGAACAAGATTTCCATTCTTACTACAGCAATTCACCACTGGTGAGGGGTGCACCGAGGAAAGAAAATTTATCCAGATTGGAAAATATAAACTTTAATCTGTATTTTTAGACAACATGAGTATATATGAATAAAATCAGGTAAGATCTAAATGAAAGTTAGAAGTAGGAACTTTGTTTTTTATATATATAGCAGAATATACAATTATCTTCTTTATTCATAGCATACTTATTCAAAAGCTGTTTTATTAATAGACATTTTGTTTCCAGTCTTTTGTTGTTACAAATAATTGTGGAATTACAAAGTTTCGTGAATGTATCTTTCCAATATTTGTGTTTTGTATTCTGTCTTTGAAATACGTTTTCAGAAGTTGGGATTGTTGGGCGCAAGGTGTGGTTTGGTGGTAGAGAGCTTGCATCGCATGTGCGAGACACTGGATTTTATCTCCAGCACCACGGAGAAAGAGAGATTGGGTCCATAGGAAAATCTGGAGGCGGGTCCAGGCAAGGTTGGCAGCGGTCATTTAGGGCTCTTGTCATTCCACACAGCGAGGCACGTGGGAGAGCGCCCCCAACCCATCTCTCTCCAGTGTTGTTCAGGGCTCGGAAGTCTCAGTGCGGGTTTGTGCATTAGGAGCCATGCAGCGCGTGTTCACGTGGCACAGCTACTTACACATCTTTTCTGAGCCTCACTAGCTTGTTCTCTGTGTGTTTTGTTTCTATAGGCAGGGGCTGAACGAGCTTTGATTTTTTTTCACTTCAATTAGATATTATTGGCACATTTAGGGTCATCAGAAAGGATTTGTACCTATACATGGTGCTGTTTTCTTTCCCATTCACCTACTCTCTCTTCAACGTCTCCTTCCCTTACCCATTTACAAAATTTCGTTTCCACGTTTTCTGTTTTGTGTTACGTAATCAGATTTACAGTCTTTCCCCTTTTTGCTTCTTGATTTTTGAGTCATAATCAGGAAAGACCTGTTGAGTACGTAGAAAAAAATCACCCAACGCTTTTTTGACATAGACGTTTGCTTCTGCCATCAGTTGCTGATCCTTCTTCTTCTTTTTCTATTTATCAGTACCAGGGATCAAACTCACGACTGCCTGCTTGCAAGGCAGGCGCTTATGCCACTGAGCTAAATCCCCAGCCCCCAGTTGCTGATCCTTTTAATCCACACTGTGAATAACGCAAGGAGGCTCCTTCACCTATGATGCCCGCCACCTGCCACGCGGCGGGCCGCGGTGCGCTGGAGCCCAGCAGCCGCCCCGTTCGGAGGTGACCCGCCACGCCAGGGGTCTGTATCCGGAACTTTGACGCGTGGCCCGCCCCAACCCGGGGAAGGTGCCAGCCAGGCCGGCAGCCACAGAGTAGCGCGCGCGAGGCCAGGCTCCTAGGTCCAGCGGTAAGGGCGCGGGAGCCTGGTGCCCATAGCTCGGCTACCCGCCGGGCGTGGCTCTGCGGCCACGGGACCCCGCCCCCGGCCTCGCTCATTGGGCGCTCCCCCGGCCCCCCGCGGTGCCCAGGTTTGGCCCCGCCCCTCTCTGCAGGCACGCGGCCCCATCGTGCTGGAGACCGTGTGTTAACGGCTCAGAGCGCAGCTGGAAGGGGAGGGTGTAGCTGTGCAGTCCCGCCCCTGCCACCTCTGGGAAGGACAGTGCTTGACGCTGTCGGTCGGCCCTTGCGGCCGGTCCGCAGGGAACGGTCCTTTGCGATGGACGCGGTGTCAGCCACTGGGCTCGGGGTCACCGTGTCCCAGGGCTTTGCCAAGCTGCTGCAGCCTCTGCAGATGCTGTACGCGGCCCTCATAGCCCGGCTGCTGAGGGTGAGGCCGGGAACCAGGGCCGGGCAAGGGGCGCGGGTCGCCCGCCAGGGGGAGCTGGGCTGCGGGTCCCCTCGGAAGAGCAGTACCCGACCAGCAGGCAGGAGCGCGGTGTGGACGGCAGAGGGGCCGGCTGTCCTGAGGAAGCGGCTGGGGCGAAGGCAGCCATCGCCTTGGGAGCAGCGTTCACGCCCCACCTGTGTGTGCAGCCTAAGGGTGCAGCAAATTGAGACACAGCATCCTGGAGGACTGATGCCTGATTTGTGGCGATCATTGTCATAGTGGTTTTGTTTGCAGCCGCATAAACCGATGGTTTCTATCATGTATTTACAATGTGTGGGGTGTGTGCGTGTGTGCAGTAATAGAAAACAGCTCACTTAAGCATGATCCGGACACATTCTGGCCATGTGTGAGACACCGCGATGAAGAAGGGCCTGTTGCCAACTGGGAAATAGGCTCAACTCACTCCCTAAGTTTAGAGACTCCACATACCTGACAACAACGCGAGCCTGCCTGTATCCCCTTTCCCGCAGTTTCATCAGGGCACCTGGAAGGTGGTTTAGACTATTGAGAGGAGATTGAGAGTATCTGTGATGATCCTTTGTGATTGCTCTGCCAGTTCTGTTAACGTTTCCATTATTTGTGCCCGCCCTTTTCAGCTGGTTGCTACCTTGCCTGAGCATGTTCAGCCCGGGCCTGACTTTTATGGGCTTCCCTGGAACCCTGTGTTGTTTACTGTCTGTCTGGGAATCGTTTCGTTGCCCATTTTCTTCTGGAGGACGGTCCTTGCTGTGAGTGAATTAACTTGGTCTTTGACTTCTGAATACATCGAGCATTCTATTATCATTGGCCCTTTCGGTTATTTACATAAACAAATCAGTAGTTATAATTCAAGCTAGTTTTCTGAAATAATTTAATGTAATCTTGATATTGGCAAGGACTGAAGAGCAAGCTAAGCATATCCACTTGTTAGTAGAGTTGGGGACTCATACAGACATCCTGAAAAGCCATTTAATAATTCTATATAGCACAAGCCTTTAAAATGGGATACAACAGAAGATAAGAAATATACATTCTTTTCATGTGGTATGATAATATCAGTACACAAACTTAAAGAAATAAATTACATGTTAAGATTTTATACAAAGGTGTTAGATGAAATAGTATTTAATAGAGTGATAAGTTGGCAAAACCTAAATGATCTATACTAGGCAATATCATGTTTCATCTTATTTATATCCACAGAACAGAATAATTAGGCTGCTGTGTGTATTTCAAAGGCAGGGGGCAAAGAAGGGGTTCACAATTTAACGTGAAGTGGGAAAAGTGGAAACGGACCGTGAGGTGTCGATAAACTGTGTTGTAGAAACCTACAGGGCAAGAAACACAGTAAGATGGTAGAAACTTCGAGGCAAGACCAGGCATAGTGGTGCGTGTATTCCTGCAGCCCTGGTGGAGAGGGAGGCTGAGGCAGGAGAAGTGCAAGTGTGAGCCCAGCCTGGGCAACTTGGTCACTTACCAAGAGCCTGTCTCAAGAATTAATGGGAAGGCTGAGAATGTAGTTCGTTGTGAAGGCCCTGTCCGCGGTACCCAAAACGACCCCAAAACAGCACTTTATTAAAGATTCCTGTGAGGACTTCTAGAATCTCACTGAACAGCTTTTTGCATGAAAGAACACCTGGAAGGGTAAGCAGAAGTGTGCGTGTGGGTGAAAACGTGCTGCTCCCCTGATCCTCTCCTTCTGCTCCCCTGCAGCTGCTCCCCAGCAGGGCTCTCAGGCTCAGCCCTGCAGCTTCACACCCTGCACCTGGGCTCACTTCCTCCCACTCCCTGAGCTCGCGTGGCTCTGAGGCACTACTCCTCATCCTGGAGAGGACAGTCGTCCCCCACACCCCACCCCGTGGCCACTGCGCTCTGCTGTCCTACACATTTTTATAGCACTCGGAAGGAGAAGACAAGAGTCTGTATTACAGAGAAGTGCAGTGATCGCTGCTGTGGTATTTAATTAGTTACAGTTTAGGATTTATGACCCCAGAAGTCACTGGGAGGAAGAACTGGGTCTGTGCTCCTCCTGGGAGCCCTTAGCTGTCATTTCTCTGTGTTCTTCCGGTGTCTTCCCTTCCGCTTAGATTTATTACTGTTTTTGTGGTCTGGGGAAATCAGATGATGAGGCGTATTAAATTATTTCTTAATTGCGTGAATAGATCACTTGAAATAGGGTTTCTGAGGTATCTTCCAGTGAGTGAGAGCCGTATCTTTGTGCAAAGATTATGCTGGTAATCTCGCTCGCCAATCTTTCATATGATCACCATTTCTAGACTGCATGCTCGCTGTTCAGGATTGTCAAGTAATTCTGAGTAAATAATAATGTGCGTATTATAAAAACAAGCATTTCAATGTTGAAGACAAAGGCTCATCTCATAAGCTTGGTGTTCACTTGGTACTGGCACATAAACCTGTGTGTAGCTGTGGAGTAAGTCACACTCCTTACTGTTATTCTGTACCAGAGGCTATTTATAAGCTATTTTTAATTGTATGGATTTATCCTGAACTAAACAGTTGCTAAATTTTCATTTGGTTATGATCCTGACTTGTGTCAGGAACTATGTATTTCTTTTAATCAAATGTTTGACATCAAATTTAATTCTCTCTTTCTCTTCTAGGTGAAGGAGAGAATATACCAAGGTAAATCTCTTCCTGTTGGTGTTTGGGAGGACTTTTAGGCAGGCTAGGAGACACAGTGACTTTGGTGTCTGATATGACTTACTAACTGCTCCACATTTTACTGTTGCTACTAACCATGGTATAGCGGGGAGGATGATGGTACTGGCTGAGGTACGAGATGTGAGGGCAGGGGGGTGACTGCTTACATGGAGCAGACCGAGCGTGGCTGGACCACACAGGTGTGGAGAGAGGACAGTGTGTCTGTGCTAGGGACACCTCGGCCCCTATAGGTTCATCAGCACAGGAGCTCGAGAGACAGCAGTGAAGATCAGTAGCCTGAAGTTGCTGTTTCTCTTTGCAAATGACATTCATTTGAAGTGATTCCGTTGTCAGAGGACAAGTGCCTTTTGTGAAGTGAGCCTCTCCAACTATGTAACATTTTACTGTACCTCCTGCCTTTGCAGTAAATTGCTATCTCATCAAAACAAGTGTTACTATAATTTTCTTAAAGTTTAACAGTGTCCTGTGCACTGTTGCTGTTAGCTGCGGGTCTCTCTGGAAAGGCAGGTAGCTGTGCGAAGCTCTGTCTCTCACGGAGCCTCACGCGAGTCCTTGCTGCTGAGACACTGTGCAGCTCAGTTCCATGTAGTGCTCCTAATGCTGGCTTTTTCCTCTTTTTATAGTCACTGAACAGCAGATGGCTGAGAAGCTAAAGAATACCACAAAGGACAATGAAGAACTTGTCCAAAAGATGTCAAGTTATAAACGGAAGGTAGAAACTGTTTTCACGGCCCCTCCTCTAGCGTGTCTCTGGTGTAGCTCAGTTATTACGGTATTTTGGCCTATGTTCTCACTTCATCATTTCCCCTGAGCCCGCCAGATCTTACGCACCATCATGTATAAAGCGAATGCTCTGCTTGCTTCCTCGGAATAAGGTTTGTTTTAGTAGCACAGTGACTTCTGTTACTTAGTTCTGAATGTGCTTTTACATAGATGGCAGAATTCAAGATGCTTATTGTGAAGACCAAGGACAAGAGTTCTCAGCAAACAATTACATACAAGGTAAAAGTCCTTCTCTGTTTGGGATTATAGTCTAAAACTGAAGCAGGCATTAATGCATATTGTTACTTTTAATATCTTTTCTTGTAGGCTGAAATCGAGGTTCTTCAAGAAAGAAATCAATTTCTGATGGGTATTGCCAAAACTCTTGGTGTTATATTCCAATCTAAGAGGAAAAGAAACGTGCAAAATCAGGATTTGGTGAGTTCTGCTGCTGCGTGTTACCACAGTTGTATTTTTAGCTATTTCATAAATTAGCTGAACTGTGTCCATGCTGTTAACTCTTTAAGATTAGGAATAACAGAACTGAACTTGCCTGTACCCATTTTGTGGGATTTTTAGTTCTAACCCAGTAGGACATTTGTATAGGCACGGGAAGTGTTTTGATCCTGAATCTTGGATAATTTCATAGCTGAGTCCTCCAGAACACACAGAGTCACTAAGAAACTGGTCCAGTTGAGTAGTCTGTGTAAACTGGTTTTATTTCACAATAGACTCTGTGCCTTTCGAATAGTTTTAAAATCTCCTAAGTGGAAATGTAGTGAGGAGAGTTCTCATGCTTCCCGCCTCCTGTGTGGCCTGGTCCTTTGCTCAGCACAGAGCTGGAAAGTTGTCCATTTTCAGTCCTTTGTGCACCATGCTCTTTGGCAGGAAGTCACGACACACAACCTGCAGTTAAAAGAACGGTGGGTTAGGGTCACCCCTTGAGCCTGGATTGTCATAAATATTGAGAAATCCTGCACATGAGATTTTTCTCTTCCCCCAGAAACACTTTTTTTGTGTTGTTTTGTTTTGGTTTTGTCTTTTTGAAACTGGGTTTTGTTATGCAGTTCAGGCTGGCTGTGAACTCACTTTGTAGCGTAGGCGGGCCTTAAACTCTCCTCTCCTGCCTCAGCCTCCCAAGTGCTGGGATTACAGGCATCCACCATACCCAGCATTCTTACCGTTCATACAAGAAAATGTTTAAAGTGATTTTGGAGCTTTTTTGGGGGGGGCAGGGATGGAACTCATGACCCAGTGCTTGGCGGGCAGGCACGTATGCTGCTGAGCTAAATCTCCAGCCCTTTTGGGGCTTTTTTGTTTCCATGCCACCAGAAAAGCTGTTCATTTTCCGTGGTTTGCTTGAACATTTCTTTATACTATGTTGTGTGGTCACCCCAAAGTTGGAGGGTACCATGAAATGCTTGACTTCAGTTTTTACCCTCAGCTCTTTTTTTTGTTTTAAGAAAGACTAAACAAAACAGAAAATGGGTAGAAATAATACATAATTTCAAAGAAAAAATAAACAGTAAGAAATCACTAATGGATGATTACACATTGTCTCCGTACAAATAATTATTGAAGATAATCAAGTAGAGCTTATAAAGTGGGATTCAAACAGTGAGATTGCAACGAGTTCTGTTCAACTATCCAACAAAAACTTAGAAATATGGTTATCAACCCTACACACTTAAACATACATGCAGTTATTCATCTTTTCAATTATGTTGAGATTGAATAAACCCAAGCAGGCTAATATCACTCTGAACAAAGAATAATACTATTGCTGGGTTTCACATTATGACACTCCAGGATCACCACTGGGTATTTTAGTGTCTCTTTTTCTTCACATTATCTGTTCATTTCATCATGTGTCATATGTTCAGTTTTCATAAACTGTTTATTGATTCTACACATGCATGAGTCTTAACATGTATTTCTATCTTTGCTATATTAGAGGGAGAAACAAAACAAAGCAAGGCAAGACAAAACATATTCCTATAAACACATGAAACAAATAAATAAGACCATTGTACAAATCATTCTACCATAGTTTCCGTGTTGTCTCTTGTTATCTCCAATAGAACTGGCTATATCATCAGACAGAGTATGATTGAATATGTTAGTACTAACAGTATTAATAAAAACAGAACTTTGTATATAGTATAGAACTTCAAAATCTGGCAGTTATCAAACCAGAATGTGTATCATTGAGTCTTGTCAACTTCAGGGTAGTTGTCTATACTCTCAGACTTGATACTATCGATCGTATCAGTTGTGAATAAAATCTTCTCTGCCTCATTTCTGTTATGCTCTTTTTTTGTCATCTGTTGTCTGCTTATCTTCTTCATTCTGTTTTCTGTTCCATTCATTGAGGCCTCTCTGCCACTGTTCCTGGAGTCCTAATACTTTTCTCTCTCTCTAGAATGCCCTGGAGTATTCTCTGTAGAGTTGGTTTAGTGGCTGCAAATTTCCCAAGTTCCTCTTTGTCTTGGAAGCACCTTGTCTCTCCATTAATTTCTAGAGACAGTTTATCAGGGTATATCAATCTGGGTTGGAAGTTATTTTCTTTCAGGGCTTGGAATAATTTGCTCCAGGCTCTTCTTGACTTGATGGTGTATGTCAAGAAGTCTGCCGTTTTTCAGATGGGCCTTCCTCTGTAGGTTATCTGTTTCTTGTCTCTAACAGCTTTTAATATTCTGTTCTTATATTGAATTTCTGGGGTCTTGATTATTATATGCCTGGGTGTAGATCTGTTTTGATTGTAGGTGGCTGGAGTTCTGTATGCCTCATATATCAGAATATCATTTCCTTTTCCTATGTTTGGGAAGTTTTCCTTAATTATTTCTGTGAATAACCTTTGTAGTTCCTTTGTTTGTATCCCAGATTCTTCACTTACATTCTTTATTCTCAAGTTATAAATTCTTTTGTCATCTTCTAGCCTTTGTATTGTCACTGCTTGTTTCCTTGTTATTTTTAAAGTTCTCCCTTTCATAGTCCCACATGGGAAAATTGTCCTCCAGTTTGGATAATCTATCCTTAGGTTCTTTCAAGCTGACTTGCCATCTTTCCATAGAGTTTTTAACTTCCTGGTCATCTCTTTGAATCTGCTTCATGTATTCTATGTTTTTTGTATTCTTCACCAAATGGTACTCTCCTGTGTTTGAGTTCCTCCCTTCTTCCGTCTGCTTGAGGGGTGCCGGGTATCTCTTTTATTAATCTTCTTACATCTTGCTTTATTTGGCTAAACGTTTCACTTGTGAACTCGTCTATGAGGTTCCAAATATATCTCTTTATGTACACTGGTGCTGTGTCTGATATTGCACGTTTGCTGTTCTCATTCTCCTTTGTATTTACCTGTCCTGGGTCAGTGTTCTCAGGGTTGGGGCCTGGGGCTTTTTGTTGTTGCTTCATCTTCCCATCTTTTTTGCTTCTTCCAGGAGGCCCCAGTTTCCTTCTTCGTTGGTTACAATTCTTCTGAAGCGTGTTGGCTAGATGACCCTTCACACTGCAGTGTGCTAGTGAGTTGCAGACAGGGACAGTGTATGCTGGCCCCTCCCCTCCAGATCAGTCAGGCTGCTGTGGCCTACCTTACTGTATTACTTTGCATGGCCCCCCCTCCAGACCAGCCAAACCTCCGAGGCCCCACTTGGCCAGTGTGGTTAGAGTGCGACACCGCTGCAGGGACTTGACCTCAGATAACTTATTGGGTCTCAGCCGGTTCAAGTGACCCAGGCCTAGCTCACTCCACCAATCCCATTCGGGAAGGGGACAATTGACTGAAGTCACTGCTGCCCCTTGTACTTGCCAGTCCTGCCAGGTCCCAGAACGTCATCTGCCAGAACCCCCTATTTATGAAATGACTCCACTCCCGTCACTCCCCACAGGTCGATGTAGGTTCCCCGCCAACTCAGCTCTCCTTTCAGCTCGCTGACCCTCCAACTCAATATAACGTCGCCTCCAGTGAGTCCAAGCAGCTGGACCTCCGAAGGCTTGGCAAGTCACGGCGGGATCCCGGCAAGTCACAGCGAGGCCCCGGCAAGTCACGGCGGAACCCCGGCCAGTGGCGCTGGAAGCTTTGCAAGGTGTGGTGGGGACCCGGCAATGCGTGGCGGGGACCCGGCAAGCCCTCTCGGGGACCCAGCAAGGTGCAGCCGGACTCAGCAGGACGCAGCGAGACCCTGGCAGGACGCGGCAGGACCTCGGCAAGTCACAGCATCAGCCAGTCACAGCAGGACCTCAGATGGTTGGCAAGTCACCTTAATTTCTTCTTGGGACGAGAGAATTCATCTCCCTCTGTTTGGGGCTCCCCACTCTGTATTATGTTGAATTCTAAGTTGACTATCTCAGGGAGCTTCCTTAGCCAGTTCTTATCTATCCGCCTTCTTTGCTCCAGGATCTGCCTCAGCTCTTTAACCTGATTTTCATTTTCCCTAGACCGCATTGAATCCTGAATTTACCTAAAACATAGTGGATGGCTTTGCTAAGCCTCCTCTGATGGTTACTGCCTCACATTGGCCATTGGAAGGTTAGATCAGGGATCTGGGTTCAACACACCCACAATGAGGCCAGAATTCCCATGGCTAGCTGCCAGCATCTCCCATTTGAATGGGACACACGTGTCCACCTGCTAGGGGGAACACACAGGATAGTCCCATTAGGTGGTATGGACAGTCCTGCATGCCTTGCAGCACTTCATGCCAGTGGGAATGTGTTAAGCCCCAACAATACATGCCCACGTGTGCATCTGGAAGTCAGGCATTTGAGTCAGCAGGCATTTTTCAGAAGGACCTGATGGATGGGATCAGCTTCCTTGACAGCTCAGGGTGGAAGCCATGCTCCACGGTCCTGAAGCAAGTCTTAGCCTCTGCAATGGGGCAAGGAGGGACATGACTCCTGCTTCCCCATCCCTCTTGCATGATCCTGTGTCTCTGTGGAGTCCCCAGTCCACAGGGATCCTTGCATGTGACTTTCAGCTAGAGCAGGAAGCTGAAGACCGCAAGAAGGTGCACGCTGAACTCAGCGAGGAAATCAGGTCCTTAGAGATCACTCAGAGGCATCTGGAAGCTGCTCTGGCTCATAAGCCTGCAAGACCGTTAGAGTCATGGTAAGTGGATGGTGATCCTTTCTCTTCTTTTCTGGCACGGGTCAGGCATTAAGTAATCATAAATGCTTTGTGTCAAGTTTAAGTAAAGCTTTAAAGACAAGAGAGACAAAGGCTAAAGAAAAAGATTTATTGCAGCACTTTCAATTTATTCATAAGGTTTGCCCTTGGTTTCCTTTAGAGGGCTCTACTGATGCAAAAAGATGGGAAAGAGTAGGAGATGCATTAAAAGATTACTAGTGGGTCTTTTGTCCTGAAAAGGTCCGGTTACAGCCTTTGCCTACTGGAACCTAATCTCGGAGCTACTTACACAGTGCTGCTGAGACTCTCAAATTTATAAAACAATCACCCATGATGAAGCCGCCTTATGCGCTTCCACTTCGTCAACATCGCTCCCTTCAGGAGATGAGCCTAAACCTTCTTGCCTCTCCAATGAGTCAAATGATATGTTTAAAAATAAGCAAGATAGCAGCCTGACTCCATCGGAGCCACTACCACCTGAGGCCCACCACAACTCTTTATATCACAACCTTGCTCCTTTACAAGTGGTCGATTGCAAACAATTGGCATATCACTCGGACCCTATTGTAGCCTCCGTTTACATAAAACAACCTCCTCCCTACGATAAGATACCCAAACTGTCCAGTCTCTCTACTGAACTTCTCGACTTACAATCAGAGATTTATGACTTGCAACAACAGGTCCAATTAGAACAACACAAACAAAGACTCATTCTGCAACTCCAAAGTTTACGAATGAGCAATTTAGACGCCACCCCTAAGATGGCACCAGCTTCTTAAATGGTGTGGCCTCTCTTCCACCACATCAGGGTGGGCCCCCTCCCCAAAATGGCGTTCCCGGTGATGGAAACAAACGTACCTCCCAAAGGTGGTGCCACACAGCCACAAGACAGCGTCGCGCTGCTAGCTCCACAAGTCATTAGGACCCATATGCCATTCACAGTGGCAGCTATAAAAGAATTAAAGACAGCCATTGCCCAAAAAGGCCCTACAGCTGCTTTCACTCTTGCTGTTTTAGATTCTATGACCCAAGGTTGGATCATTCCAAATGAATGGAGGAATTTAGCCAAAGCTACTCTCTCTGGGGGCAATTATTTACTCTGGAAGTCTGAATTTATGGAACAATATGAAAATATTGCTAAAGATAATGCTGCTAGACAAAACCCCTGGACCCTTCTCACATTAATGGGAAACTGGGGATTTTAACACCAAAGAGGCCCAAACGAGATATGATCCCAGCCTCTTTGCACAAGTTAACGTGACCGCTACGAGGGCTTGGAGAAAACTTCCCTCCAGGGGTGATGTAACCTCCTCCCTCACCCAAATTAGACAAAAGCCAGACGAACCATTCTCTGATTTTTTCAACCGCCTCGTACAGGCAGCCAAGCAACTTTTTGGCACCGTCAAAACTAATGCGGCCCTAATTAAACAATTAGCCTATGAAAATGCAAAATCAGCTTGCCAAGCTGCAATTCGGCTTCATACAATAAAGGAAGATCGGGGCTAGAGATTCCGCTCAGCAGCATAAGCCCCTGCCTTGCAAGCAGGCAGTCATGAGTTCGATCTCCGGTACCGATAAAAAAGGAAAAAGGAAAAAGACAAACAAAAAAGGAAGATCTATTTGGCTACATAAGCCTCTGTGCTGACATAGGCCCCGCCTACCACCAGGTTCTAGCTATGGTCACCACGGTCAAACAAGACTTTCTTGCAAATAAAAAAAAGAATGGTAAATGCTTTAAATGTGACAATCAGGGCATTTTGCCTGGGACTGCCCTCAAAGCTAAAACAAGATCCAACAAACCCCACAAAAAAAAAAAACCCAGGCCTCTGCCCTATATGTAAAAGGGGATCACTGGGCCAATGAATGCTGGTCCAAAAAGGATGTTCATGGTAACCCTCTACACCTGCAGGGAAATGAAAATCGGGGCCAGCCCCAGGGCCCCAACTACTACCAAAAATCTGGGGCACCAAGGTTCATTCCAACCAAAACAATACATTTCAGACCTCATCAGGGCAACCCCAGAAGGCGCAGGACTGGATCTCTCTTCCACCTCCAACACAGTATTAACCCCTGATATGGGCCTCCATGCCATCCCCACTACAACCTTTGGCTCCCCTCCCCCTGGGTGCATTGGACTTATTATAGGGCACTGCAGCTCCACGTTACAGGGACTGCAAGTATTGCCTGGTGTTATAGACTCAGATTATACAGGGCAAATTAAGGTTATGGTCACTATCTCCACACCTTCCGGCGTTGTGTCTATGAAGGCTAACCAGCGCCTCGCCCAATTGCTCCTGTTACAGTGCGTCTCTACCCCCAATCCATTCATGTCATCTCATAGGGTTGCTTCCCTCCCTGGGTCCTCAGATGTATATTGGGCTCACTAAATATCTAAAGATAAGCCCCTTATGGTCCTACAACTAGATGGAAAGGGTTTTTCAGGCCTCATAGATACAGGCGCTGATGTGACTATTATCAAAAAGGAAGACTGGCCTCTCACGTGGCCCTTAGGGACAACTATAACACATCTACAGGGAATTGGACAATCAAAAAACCCACAGCGTAGTGCCAACCTCCTTACCTGGAAAGACCAAGAAGGTAACCAGGGACACATACAGCCCTATGTCATTGCAGGACTACCTCTTAATCTATGGGGCAGAGATTTACTAACCCAAATGGGAATGATTATGGGTAGCCCTAATAATGTAGTCACAGCACAAATGCTCAAAAGCGGATTTCTCCCAAATCAAGGCCTAGGAAAACAGGGCACAGGCATTAAAATTCCTATCTCCCCCATTCCAAATCTAACAAAAACAGGATTAGGCCATTTTCACTAGAGGCCATTGATCTTGCTGTAATCCACGCAGACAAAATCACCTGGCTCTCAGATGATCCTGTATGGGTTGATCAATGGCCTCTTGCTCAATCAAAACTCTCCCCCGTCCAACAGCTGGTGCAGGAACAGCTTGCCCTGGGACATATCATCCCAAGTAACTCCCCGTGGAACACACCCATCTTGCTATTAAGAAAAAGTCAGGAAATTGGCGCCTATTACAAGACCTTAGGGCCATCAATAAGACCATGGTTCTCATGGGGGCCCTGCGGCCAGGCCTCCCTTCCCCCTCTGCTATTCCGCTAGGCCATTATAAGATCATCATTGATCTTAAAGACTGCTTTTTCTCTATTCCCCTTCACCCAGAAGACCAAAAGAGGTTTGTGTTCAGTGTCCCAGCCCCAAATTTCCAAGCCCCCATGCAAAGGTTTCAATGGCTCACCCTCCCCCAGGGGATGGCAAATAGCCCCACCCTATGCCAGTCTTTTGTGGCTTCTGCCTTACAACACGTGAGAAATAATTGGCCACAACTCCACATCCTCCATTATGTGGGTGGTATTCTGGTCGCGGGACAACACGTTTTCCTATGTTACTCAGATCTCCAAGAGGCCCTCCACACAAAAGGCCTTACTATTGCCCCAGACAAGGTCCAGCTGACAGACCCATACACCTACCTAGGTTTTCAATTGAGGGGCACCCGCCTCTTCTCCCCAAAGCCCCAACTAAGACTTGATGGCTTAAAAACCCTAAATGATTTCCAAAAGCTCCTAAGAGACATCAATTGGCTCATTCCATACCTAAAGATAAGTAAACATGACCTCCCACCCCTTTATGACCTGTTGCGAGGAGATCCAAATCCGACCTCTCCCTGACCGCTTACCCCAATGGCCACACAGTCTATCTCAGCTGTAGAAGAGGCCACCTCTAATCAGACCATTTCCTTTATGGACTATAGCCAACCTCTACAATTCCTCATCTTTAATACCAAACATTCTCCCACCGCTGTGTTTTGGCAGCGGGCACCCCTCATGTGGGTTCACCTGCCGATCAATGCAAAGCGAATGTTTAATCCTTACTATCAGGCTGTCTTAGGCCTAATCATCCAAGGCCCAAAACAAGCTAAATGCTACTTTGGCAAAGATCCCGATATCATCATACAACCCTACACAAAAAATCAAATAGACTGGCTATTCGAGGCAACTGAGTCCTGGCCCATTGCCCTGGCTGCATTTAAAGGACAAATTGATAACCATTACCTATCTGATAAGCTTTTAGATTTTTCCAACCACAACACTTTCATTTTTCCAAAGGCTACAGCCTCTCAGCCCCTTCCCAACGTCCTGGTGCTATTCACTCACAGATTCCTCCTCGGGCAGAGCCGCTTATGCCTTCCAAGATAAGGTGGTTTCCTTCCAAACCACTCCCACCTCAGCCCAACTAATGGAACTCCAGGCCATCCTGGCTGTTTTCTCCACCTTCCCCCTCCAGCCTTTCAACCTCTATACAGATAGTTCCTATTTGGCTCACTCTGTCCCCCTATTGGAGAAACTAGGTGCTATTTGTCAGGCCTCCCCAGCAGCAAACCTATTTACTAAATTACAAAGCCATATATGGCTCTGCCACCACAAGTTTTTCACTGGGCACCTAAGAGCCCACTCAGGCCTTCCTGGTCCCCTAACAAGGGGCAACCACCTTGCAGATCTAGCCACACGAGCACAGATCTTTTTTCAAGATTCTGATCCCCCAGGCAATAAGGTAGACCAAAACATCTTAGACGCCCAACACACTCACTGGCTGCACCACCTTAATGCCCAGTCCCTTCCCCTCCTCCATAAAATTACCGATGACCAAGCCAGACAGATTGTAAAAGACTGCCCATCCTGTGCTATCCACCTACCCGTGCAACACTTAGGGGTTAATCCAAGGGGCCTTGTCCCCAATGCCCTGTGGCAAATGAATGTCACTCATATCCCAGAGTGTGGCAACCTAAAATATGTCCATGCGAGTGTTGATGTATACAGTGGCTTTATCCTCGCCACCCTCCAAACCGGAGAGGCTACTAAACATATCATTGCACACATGCTGTCAGCTTTATCAGTGCCTGGAAACCCTCATCCACTTAAGACCGACAATAGGCCTGGATATACTAGCACTTCCTTTGCCCACTTCTGCAAGTGCCTCAACATCCTCCATACAACAGGAATACCTTACAATCCACAAGGCCAAGGTTATTGTTGAACGTGCACATCGTTCTCTCAAACTCACTATTGATAAAGTCAAAGGGGGATCATGGTACCCTACCCAAGGATCCCCCAGAAATATTCTATCTCATGCCTTATCCATCCTTAATTTTTTAAATTTGGATGCTTCTGGACAGTCAGCAGCCATGCGTTATTGGCACACTGAAACACAAAAGCAATTTGCTTCTGTACTATGGAGGAACTCCCTGACTAATTCATGGCACGGCCCTGACAACCTGTCTCATATGGGGACGTGGTTCAGTGTGCATATACTCCCGCCAAGACAAAGAGGCTAGATGGTTCCCCGAATGCCTCGTTAGGCAAATTAATGAGCCAAATAATAATAACTCAAAAAAGGCCCAGAAGTAAACACATACCCTGAGGCAACTTCTTCTGCTTCCTTACAGAAAATGCCAAACCGATGGATTACGTGGTGCCTTCTCGAGAACCTCCTTGGACCACCCTTGACCAAGGGTGGATTTGGACCTCCTGTCACAAATGGCCTCTAACCATGCTCTGGGGAGGGCTCTTCCCCTACCTAGCACCCTTCCTGGGGCCCCTAGCTGCCTTGTTGCTTCTCCTCTCTGTGGGTCCTTGTATTTTTCAGAGGATTACGGTGCTCATTAATAACCGGATAGACGCGTTCATGGCAAAGCCCATTCAGGTACACTATCAGCAGCTGGAGATGGCAGATCAAAAAACCTACCGGGAAAGAATTCCCATGAGTGGCCCATATGACGATGTGGCCTGACTGCTCTGAGACAATGGACAGACAGCCAGAGACGGGCAACTAGGACATACATGCCACACCACCGGTCACCTAAGACAGGCACAGGGCCAACTGCTGTCCTGCAAGCCCATGATGGGTAAGGCCCGGTTGGGTTCATGTAAAGAGGTCCTTGACCTAAGACAGGCGCTGTCCTCACAGGGCCTGCCATACTCCTGATTAAAAGATATAGAAAGGGAGGAGATGTAGGGAGCGGTGTCACCGCCCCGCTGCTGTCTCCCCGCCTGTCCCTCATATGGGCACATAATGCGCATACATTAACCATAATCCTCTCCTACTTACATCCTGTACACCCACGAGACGATGACCCCCTCAGAGATCACCCCATAGCCTCTTCCTGTCCCACTGACCCGCTCCTGCCCTATAAAAGCAGCAACCACTTTATCAATAAATGAGCCTCGATCGGACTTCCTCGACTTCTCTCCAGCTCTGTGTCTCCTACTCTGCATCTGTCAATCCCCGTTCCTTCACCAGGAAACTGCCCCCCGGATCTGGATTGATCCGTGGGCTGAGTCAGAAATATGTGTTCCTCAACTATTTCCAGAGGAAATAGTCATTTTTATGACATTCTGAATCATTTTGTACATACCTATGCTATATTAACTAAAACACAGGGATCATTATTGCACATTTCAAAATTGGAACGTCACTCTAGCTTAAGAGGCAATTTTTAGATAGGAAGATGAGACTTCTGTATTGTTTCGCTTGAAAATGTACACCGTTCAAGGCAGGTTAGTAATAAAATCCTTTTAAAATGAACTGGGCCTCCAAAACCAATAAAAGCCTTGGCCCTGTGATTAGTGAGGCCATTATGCACTCTGCCTCAGAGTGTGGGCAGGTTCTCGGCTGCTTTGCGGTGAGGCTGGGGCCTCTTTGGGCTCCAAGAGCAGGGGCTCCCCTGCGGCAGGCGGCGGTGGGTAGTCCAGGGGCCCGGCGGGTGGTGCTGGCATTCGAGGACCAGGAATGAGCGGGCCTCGAGGCCTGAATGGCACAGGTCCCGGCAAGAACTCACGGGGGTGCAGCGGCACGTCGCAGCGTCCGGGCAGGATGCGGGCGCATATTCTCTTAAGCCCAATGGTGGGCCCATGCATGAGACTGGAAAGCAAGAGGGACACGCGGACACATCCTGAGGAGCAGCCCAAGTGTGCTCAACGTGTTTCCGTTCCCCTGAGCCAGGAAGCCGAGTGATGCATCAGACTTCACAGATAAGGGAAACTGAGGCTCAGTACAGCTCAACTACAGCCTGACCCTCCCTTCTCGCATTGCCACACGCCCATGGTGGCCCGGGTGACCACCCCGGTGGGACTGGCACTTCGGCTCTGCGGGAAGGACCCTTCTGGTCTGAGCAGCTGTCCGGAGGCTGCACTGGGCTCAGAGTGCTGGACCTCGTGCTGCGAGTCTGCGGGGCTGCAGCTGCGGATCAGGACAGGAGAGGAGAGGACAGGGCAGGCGGTGGTGCCAGCCCAAGTGTCCTACCGTACCAAATGTCAGCGGTCGTGGCGGAGGCATCGGCCGAGGCCCGAAAGGCCCGCAGAGCCTTGGCTGTGGCGGAGGTCCATAGTCCACGAGGCGCGGCATGGGGCCTCCCAGGAACGGGGGCCCTGGATAGGCTGGGGGACCCTTCGCAGCCATGCTCACCTGCGAACAGCAGCAAGCCCAGTTCCGAGCGTAGCAGTGACACCGGGTGCCCATCCCGAGAGGAGTCAAGGGATCCTGGGCCCTGCCGGCCCCTATGTGAGCAGCATGCCACCCAGCGGGCACGCCCACCATGCTGTCCCCACTCTCCTGTGGAGAGATGAGCTCCAGAGGGGCCTGCGGGCGCTGCACCAGTTCGCATACTCCTGCCAGCACGAGTGTGGCCCTGGGCATGACAGGGGCAACGCAAGGGCTCCCAGGGGCCGGGGGGTCCCTGGGGAGAACAGGGAGCTGCCTCGGCCAGTGACACTGCACAGTGAGGGCCTGGTGGAGGTGCCTGTGCCTGCGCTGACCAGAAGGCAGGCCAGAGACCTCTGACCATCGCAGGTGGGCCCCGTGCATTGGGAAGGTTGCTGAGGCGGCAGCGTCAGGACCAAGGAGGCACAGCAGCCTGGGCCGCCCAGGACCCGGGGACCTGGTTCATGGGTCCCTGACCCCACCAGAGCACCAGAGCCGACACCCACTCATTCTGATCATTCCAAGGGTCTGCCTAGCACAGACCCCGAGGACCCTCACAGCTGCTCCCCAATAAATCACACACCCGTCATCCCGGCACTCGGGTGGCTGAGGCAGGAGGACTGCTAGGGAACTGGAGGTCAGCTCTGGGTACTGTGAGGTCAAGGCTAGTTTGAGCTACATAAGGAAACTCTGACTCAAAATAAGTAACAAGCAAAAGACATAAGGCACCGGCTGCCCAGGGTGTGAGGGGCGCTTTGCCCCAGAACTCAGCACGTGCCCCGCGAAGGCCCGAGTCAGATGGCGACAGCTGAGTGAGCCTGGGGTCTCTACGCCCAGGCCCGCTGAAGAACAGAGAGGATACCGAGGGCGCGTGGAGTGGCTTGGGTGTGGGCTCCCAGGCTCACCTTGCCATTGTCCATGCCCTTTGCCAGGGAGGAGCCGCGGGAATCGCTGTTGGCCACAGGCCTGGGGCCGGGATCTGGGGACAGAGAAGGCACTCCGAGGACTCTCCCAGGCCGAGGACGGAAAGAGGCCGCGCGCGCACTCTCGGACATGCACCCTCGGGGATGAGGCAGATCCCCATCCACTGGCCCTGGAGGGAGCTGAGGCTGGGCCGGCTCTGACTGGGCAGCTGCAAGGCCACCCTGCTCACGCACTGCAATCGGGGTGGACCCGCACATGGCCCAAGGCTAAGTGAAAACCTCGAGCTCAGAGTACCCGGGCTCTGTACCAGAGCTCAGGGAACTGTGCCCAGGGCAGGTGGCACGGTGTCCCTGAGTCTGGGCCTCGAGGCCTCGGAGAGACTCAACTGAGTTGGCTCTCGCGATGTTGCGGCCTGCAAAGTTCAGGCTGGCAGAGGGCTGCCTTGCTGGGGGCTCTGCACCTGTGGGCGGGGAGCACTCATCACTGCTCACAGGGTATGGGCCAAAGGAGCCTTTCTGGCTCAGGGGACCTGTGGCGACAATGCGCGATGGTTACCACTTCTCTGCAGTGGCTAAGTTCCCTGAGCCGCACTCAGAAGGACAGAGCGCCCACCTCTGCGGGGTGCATTCTGCACTCCTGGCCGGTCCGGCATCGGCTTGCCGATCACAGGCTCCTCTTGACGCATAGCCAGCTTCTAGGTCATCTCCACGAGCCTGCATGCAGACAGAGTGGGGCTGGGGTGACCATAGCCACTCCGAGCGGGCTGAAACGTGGGCGCCACGCGTCACGCCACGTGGCTGCTCACCTGTGCCGCAGGCTGACGGCCTCCCGCTTCTCCGCTGCAATTAGGCGCTCAGTATGCCGGGCTATGACCTGTGGAGACAGAGGGGCCAGCTCAGCACAGAGGCTGAGTGAAGCTGGAGGGGGCGAGGCCAGGAGGCGGCTCTTACCCAGTTCTCGTGGGCTTTCTCCTCATGAATAGCAAGCTGCAAGAGAACAAGGCAAGACGCAGGTTGAGGGACTCGGCACCATGGCCACAGCCCACCGCTGCAGCCCTCCTATGTCTGTGTGGGGAATTAACGCATGCTGTCACCACACGGCTGTCTATTCCTTACCTGGTTTTTAAATGAGCTCTCTGTTTTCTGTAATTCTTGCTTGATTTCATGAGTTCTCTGCCTAAAAATAATACTTAGCAGTTAGAACCAAATAAAATCTGAAACAATCTGACCATGTCTGATCTTTAAAGACCTCATCATACAGAAACGTTTCATAACGTGACGAGTGCACTGTGAACAACCTCAGTTTCCTGATTTTTCATTTAATGGCTAGAGATTATGAGTTGATAACTTGTAAACTTCCTTAACTCTCCTTGTAATAACGTTCTCAAAATAATCTGGCTAAGGGTACCTTTCCCATAAAGGTTTTCCCTCAAATTATAGCCACAAGAATGATCCAAAATGCGGCCCCTGGCCTGTCGGGGCACCGAGACTCTGGTGGGTGTGGACACGTGGCAGAAGCATGCCGCTTTCCTAAAGATGGGCACAGGACACATCTGCAAAACAGCTTCGCTGTTAACAAGCTTCCGTCTTGAGTTAATGCGTTAACTCCCGCTCCGTGTGAGTTAAATGCATTCCATGCTTGGACTATCCATATGCTTCTGTGCCCATCTCTTCTATGTAACAAAGCAACTCAGCCCAGCTCCTTTGCCTTGGATGCCACACTCAGTTGTAGACTTTCACCTCCTCTGTGGCCAGCACCACCTTCTCATCCGCAGCCGACAGCCGCTGGTCTCGCTCCAGCAGCTCAAATTCTGCCTGAATCAGCTTCCTAGGAGAAAGGCAGCTGCCGGGGGCGAGCTCGGCCCACAGGCCACTTCCCCACCCAACAGCATGCACGGGGTCTCAGGAGGGAAGTCAAGCTCCAGGCTCTGGGCCATTTGCTTGTGTTCTTGTATTCTCTTACATCTCCTTGTAATTGTCTAATCAGCAATCAGAACAAGCTAAGAGCAAAGCATGCGCTAGGTGCCAGCTGCCTGCGTGGGAGATGAGTGCACCCTGAGGGAAGCCAGGATTGCCCAGCAGAGCTGGCTGGGAAAGCAATAGCTTGAGGCCCCCCCCCCACTCCCACCCTCCATGCTGTCTGGGAGAGCTGTTCCTCTAGACCTAGGCCATGATAAACACACAGGGAATGCCACATGGGTGGACGGGAGCCTGTGGCCCCAGCCAGAAAGTGACCTGTGGGCCCCAGAGGCCAGTGCTGCCCTCCTTCACCCACACATTGAGGACAATGCCAAAGACGCTGAACTGAGCCCTCGACAAATCCCTAGGCTTTAAGAAACAGGCAGTGGAGCTGAGGCTACAGAGGCAAGGACGCCGGGCTGAATTGCTAGCTGGATGATGGTGATGGCCGACAGGCAGGAGCATCCTTGGGTTGCAAAGCCAGCAGCACCCTGAGCCCCAAGGTTCCTCTATGATCACTGCACATCGATGCTGCTAGGCAATCAGAAGTGACAGGAATGGCCAGCATGAGACACTGGGCAAAATCTCTCGGACTCACTTCTGCAGTTCCATCTCCTTCTCTTGGTACAGCTCCTTCAGGATCTCGACCTTCTGCTGCAGCATCCTACACTCCTCCTCCAGCCCGGGCTTGGCTGCCTGCAGCGTGTCACAGTCCTCATTCAGCTTCTTGATCTGGTCTGGGAGGTGAGACGTATCACCAAGGGCACCGCCAAAGACACAGAACCAGGCTGCCAGCATCCTTGCCTCATCCATGCCGGCGCTCAGCCTGACCACCATGTGGTCAGGGACCTACCTTTCAGGTCAACGTTGGCAGACAGGGAAGCTCTCAGCTTCACTTGCAGGAGTTTGAGATCCTCCTGAACCACGGATATTTTCGCTTGTGTCTGAAAATTGTGAGGGAGAGGCACAGGCTTGAAAGTGAGGCACAGTCAAGACTCATGGACCCCTGGGGGCACACTGTGAAGGGACTCACTCCGGACATATCCATCAGCTGGTGAATGCGAATCTTCAGCTTACTCTCCTCACCTACAAAGAGAACAAGTGTGGCTGTTTCTTCCTGTGCCATTTCTAACACTGTTGTCCTGACTTCCACAAAACTAAACTAATGCTCATCAAACACTTAAAGAAAAACAATTCACCAACAGAACTGGCACACTGACTTTTATGACAGCTGCACCCTTAGATTTTGTGAGCTCCTGCCAAGACAGCATGCCACCTGGGCTGTGGCTGAGCAAGCCTAGCTCTGCCACACGATGGTCTAGGGAGAGCCGGCCGGCGTGGGTCCAGACTCGCACCCTGAGCACCCTCTGCAGCTGGGGTGGTGCCCTGAACACTTTCCTCCTCTCACACGCTGCTGCTCTCCAGCCTCTGTCCTCACAGCCTGAGCTGTGGCTCCCCCATCCCCATACTCTAGGTGACCCTTGGCCAAGGGCCTGAGAACCGCAGAATAGCAGAGGCCATGAGTGTGGACCCAAGTGTCATCTGCAGGAAGCTGAGAAAGTTTCCTCTCCGGCTGTCATGCTTTATGTCTGTGGCCCCCAGGCCTCATGACTTTGCATTGTACATTTGTGATTGGTTCATTGTCTAGTGCTTGGATTGATAGTGGCAGTGCTACATGCACAGAGGGGTGGAGCCAGGGTGTGATGTAATGGCCGGAGGGTGGTGTGTCTTGGTCTTTTGCCAGTTTCGGCCTTGCTGTTTGGAGCCGCCATGAACTGTGGCTCTGCCATGCTACCTGCCTTGGAGCCAACTGAGTATGGACTGAAACCTCCACAACTGTAAGAAATAAACCTTTCCTTCCTCAACTTTAGGCTTCAGATATTTTGTCTCCGCAATGAGTACAAAGTAACTAAGACACTGGAACAGGGGCCAACACAAAGGCAAAAGGCTCCAGCGTACACATCCGGTTCTCAAGGGGTGGAAAAGCAGCTTTCCCCGCTTGCCTGCTGCTACTGCACCCCAGTGACCCAGACATGAGTATGAATCATTCAGATGTTGGGAGCCATTGAAGCTGGAAACCTACCACATGTGCAGGGCCGGGTATGACTGTCCCAAGAACAATGAGCCCTGGGGCTGCCACGTGAAGAAGCTACCTCAGCCCAGAGAACACCAAGCCCCAAGACAATCTGAACAGTGGGCTGCTAGGACAACAGGGTGTCACATGACATTAAGTTGCTAAAAGATATAAATAAACACCCCTGCAGTGAGGGACCAGTTCCTTTATTCCCATCAGGAGGGTAAGGGCTCCACAGGACCCCTGATTTGTCTGTCTATTTTCTCATCCTCTCGTGAGCCTTCACACTAAAAACCTAAAGAGCTGCATGGGTCGGGGCAAGAAGAAAGTCAGCTGAGAAGCAGCATCCGTGTATGGAATTAAAGACAAGTATGCTTAGGAGGCTGAGGTGGAAGATTTGCTGTGGGTTTGAGGCCAGTGTGGGCTACACAGTGAGTTCAAGACCAGCCACTACATAGAGACCTTGTTTAAAATCATAGTAAAGACAAGAAGACAAAAACGGGGGCCTTGAAGGGCTGGGGATTTAGCTCAGTGGCGCAAGGTCATGAGTTTGAACCCTGGTTCAAAAAAAGAAAAAAAAGGCCCTTGGGCTAGGGCCAGTCTTACCTCCCACTTCTCCATCAGCTAATTCACCTGGCTCACATCTGCCTGGACCTGGAGATCCACTCTCAAACTGATTCAACTGTATGATGCAGTTGGTCAGAGCCTAGCAGAGAAGCAAGAGGCAGTTAAGAGCCTCTCCATCCTCACGGTGAGTGTGTTTGCCAAGTGTTCACGAACAGGCTGGGTTGGCCAGGGTAACTTACACCGATTCTATCATCCTTATGAGCCAGAGCAGCTTCCAGATGCCTCTGAGTGATCTCTAAGGACCTGATTTCCTCGCTGAGTTCAGCGTGCACCTTCTTGCGGTCTTCAGCTTCCTGCTCTAGCTGAAAGTCACATGCAAGGATCCCTGTGGACTGGGGACTCCACAGAGACACAGGACCATGCAAGAGGGATGGGGAAGCAGGAGTCACGTCCCTCCTTGCCCCATTGCAGAGGCTAAGACTTGCTTCAGGACCGTGGAGCATGGCTTCCACCCTGAGCTGTCAAGGAAGCTGATCCCATCCATCAGGTCCTTCTGAAAAATGCCTGCTGACTCAAATGCCTGACTTCCAGATGCACACGTGGGCATGTATTGTTGGGGCTTAACACATTCCCACTGGCATGAAGTGCTGCAAGGCATGCAGGACTGTCCATCCCACCTAATGGGACTATCCTGTGTGTTCCCCCTAGCAGGTGGACATGTGTGTCCCATTCAAATGGGAGCTGCTGGCAGCTAGCCATGGGACTTCTGGCCTCATTGTGGGTGTGTTGAACCCAGATCCCTGATCTAACCTTCCAATGGCCAATGTGAGGCAGTAACTATCAGAGGAGGCTTAGCAAAGCCATCCACTATGTTTTAGGTAAAATAGGGATTCAATGCGGTCTAGGGAAATAAAAATCAGGTTAAAGAGCTGAGGCAGATCCTGGAGCAAAGAAGGCGGATAGATAACAACTGGCTAAGGAAGCTCCCTGAGATAGTCAACTTAGAATTCAACATAATACAGAGTGGGGAGCCCCAAACAGAGGGAGATGAATTCTCTCGTCCCAAGAAGAAATTAAGGTGACTTGCCATTTTCCATCTGAGGACCTGCTGTGACTGGCTGACGCTGTGACTTGCCGAGGTCCTGCCGCGTCCTGCCAGGGTCCCACCACGACTTACCAGGGTCTCGCTGCGTCCTGCTGGGTCCTGCTGCACCTTGCCGGGTCCCCGAGGGGGCTTGCCGGGTCCCCCCCACGCCTTGCCGGGTCCCCAACACACCTTGCCGGGTCCCCAACACACCTTGCCGGGCTTCCACCGCCACTGGCCGGGGTTCTGCCGTGACTTGCCGGGGCCTCGCCGTGACTTGCCGGGATCCCGCCGTGACTTGCCAAGCCTTCGGAGGTCCCACTGCTTCGACTCACTGGAGGCACCGTTATATTGAGTTGGAGGGTCAGCGAGCTGAAAGGAGAGCTGAGTTGGCGGGGAACCTACATTGACCTGTGGGGAGTGATGGGAGTGGAGTCATTTCATAAATAGGGGGTTCTGGCAGATGACGTTCTGGGACCTGGCAGGACTGGCAAGTACAAGGGGCAGCAGTGACTTCAGTCAATTGTCCCCTTCCCAAATGGGATTGGTGGAGTGAGCTAGGCTTGGGTCACTTGAACCGGCTGAGACCCAATAAGTTATCTGAGGTCAAGTCCCTGCAGCGGTGTCGCACTCTAACCACACTGGCCCAGTGGGGCCTCGGAGGTTTGGCTGGTCTGGAAGGGGGGCCATGCAAAGTAATACAGTAAGGTAGGCCACAGCAGCTTGACTGATCTGGAGGGGAGGGGCCAGCATACACTGTCCCTGTCTGCAACTCACTAGCACACTGCAGTGTGAAGGGTCATCTAGCCAACACGCTTCAGAAGAATTGTAACCAATGAAGAAGGAAACTGGGGCCTCCTGGAAGAAGCAAAAAAGATGGGAAGATGAAGCAACAACAAAAAGCCCCAGGCCCCAACCCTGAGAACACTGACCCAGGACAGGTAAATACAAAGGAGAATGAGAACAGCAAACATGCAATATCAGACACAGCAGCAGTGTACATATTTGGAACCTCATAGACGAGTTCACAAGTGAAACGTTTAGCCAAATAAAGCAAGATGTAAGAAGATAAATAAAAGACATACCCGGCACCCCTCAAGCAGACGGAAGAAGGGAGGAACTCAAACACAGGAGAGTACCATTTGGTGAAGAATACAAAAAACATAGAATACATGAAGCAGATTCAAAGAGATGACCAGGAAGTTAAAAACTCTATGGAAAGATGGCAAATCAGCTTGAAAGAACCTAAGGATAGATTATCCAAACTGGAGGACAATTTTGCCATGTGGGACTATGAAAGGGAGAACTTTAAAAATAACAAGGAAACAAGCAGTGACAATACAAAGGCTAGAAGATGACAAAAGGATATATAACTTGAGAATAAAGAATGTAAGTGAAGAATCTGGGATACAAACAAAGGAACTACAAAGGTTATTCACAGAAATAATTAAGGAAAACTTCCCAAACATAGGAAAAGGAAATGATATTCTGATATATGAGGCATACAGAACTCCAGCCACCTACAATCAAAACAGATCTACACCCAGGCATATAATAATCAAGACCCCAGAAATTCAATATAAGAACAGAATATTAAAAGCTGTTAGAGACAAGAAACAGATAACCTACAGAGGAAGGCCCATCTGAAAAACGGCAGACTTCTTGACATACACCATCAAGTCAAGAAGAGCCTGGAGCAAATTATTCCAAGCCCTGAAAGAAAATAACTTCCAACCCAGATTGATATACCCTGATAAACTGTCTCTAGAAATTAATGGAGAGACAAGATACTTCCAAGACAAAGAGGAACTTGGGAAATTTGCAGCCACTAAACCAACTCTACAGAGAATACCCTAGGGCATTCTAGATGAGAGAAAACTATTAGGACTCCAGGAACCGTGGCAGAGAGGCCTCAATGAATGGAACAGAAAACAGAATGAAGAAGATAAGCAGACAACAGATGACAAAAAAAGAGCATAACAGAAATGAGGCAGAGAAGATTTTATTCACAACTGATACGATCGATAGTATCAAGTCTGAGAGTACAGACAACTACCCTGAAGATGACAAGACTCAATGATACACATTCTGGTTTGATAACTGCCAGTTTTTGAAGTTCTATACTATGTACAAAGTTCTGTTTTTATTAATACTGTTAGTAGTAACATATTCAATCATACTCTGTCTGATGATATAGCCAGTTCTATTGGAGATAACAAGAGACAACACGGAAACTATGGTAGAATGATTTGTACAATGGTCTTATTTATTTGTTTCATGTGTTTATAGGAATATGTTTTGTTTTGCCTTGCTTTGTTTTGTTTCTCCCTCTAATATAGCAATGATAGAAATACATGTTAAGACTCATGCATGTGTAGAATCTATAAACAGTTTATGAAAACTGAACATATGACACATGATGAAATGAACAGATAATGTGAAGAAAAAGAAACACTAAAAAACCCAGTGGTGATCCTGGAGTGTCATAATGTGAAACCCAGCAATAGTATTATTCTTTGTTCAGAGTGATATTAGCCTGCTTGGGTTTATTCAATCTCAACATAATTGAAAAGATGAATAACTGCATGTATGTTTAAGTGTGTAGGGTTGATAACCATATTTCTAAGTTTTTGTTGGACAGTTGAACAGAACTCGTTGCAATCTCACTGTTTGAATCCCACTTTATAAGCTCCACTTGATTATCTTCAATAACTATTTGTACGGAGACAATCTGTAATCATCCATTAGTGATTTCTTACTGTTTATTTTTTTTCTTTGAAATTATGTATTATTTCTACCCCTTTTCTGTTTTGTTTAGTATTTCTTTAAACAAAAAAAAGAGCTGGGGTAAAAACTGAAGTCAAGCATTTCATGGTACCCTCCAACTTCGGGGTGACCACACAACATAGTATAAAGAAATGTTCAAGCAAACCACGGAAAATGAACAGCTTTTCTGGTGGCATGGAAACAAAAAAGCCCCAAAAGGGCTGGAGATTTAGCTCAGCAGCATACGTGCCTGCCCGCCAAGCACTGGGTCATGAGTTCCATCCCTGCCCCCCCCAAAAAAGCTCCAAAATCACTTTAAACATTTTCTTGTATGAACGGTAAGAATGCTGGGTATGGTGGATGCCTGTAATCCCAGCACTTGGGAGGCTGAGGCAGGAGAGGAGAGTTTAAGGCCCGCCTACGCTACAAAGTGAGTTCACAGCCAGCCTGAACTGCATAACAAAACCCAGTTTCAAAAAGACAAAACCAAAACAAAACAACACAAAAAAAGTGTTTCTGGGGGAAGAGAAAAATCTCATGTGCAGGATTTCTCAATATTTATGACAATCCAGGCTCAAGGGGTGACCCTAACCCACCGTTCTTTTAACTGCAGGTTGTGTGTCGTGACTTCCTGCCAAAGAGCATGGTGCACAAAGGACTGAAAATGGACAACTTTCCAGCTCTGTGCTGAGCAAAGGACCAGGCCACACAGGAGGCGGGAAGCATGAGAACTCTCCTCACTACATTTCCACTTAGGAGATTTTAAAACTATTCGAAAGGCACAGAGTCTATTGTGAAATAAAACCAGTTTACACAGACTACTCAACTGGACCAGTTTCTTAGTGACTCTGTGTGTTCTGGAGGACTCAGCTATGAAATTATCCAAGTTTCAGGATCAAAACACTTCCCGTGCCTATACAAAGGTCCTACTGGGTTAGAACTAAAAATCCCACAAAATGGGTACAGGCAAGTTCAGTTCTGTTATTCCTAATCTTAAAGAGTTAACAGCATGGACACAGTTCAGCTAATTTATGAAATAGCTAAAAATACAACTGTGGTAACACGCAGCAGCAGAACTCACCAAATCCTGATTTTGCACGTTTCTTTTCCTCTTAGATTGGAATATAACACCAAGAGTTTTGGCAATACCCATCAGAAACTGATTTCTTTCTTGAAGAACCTCGATTTCAGCCTACAAGAAAAGATATTAAAAGTAACAATATGCATTAATGCCTGCTTCAGTTTTAGACTATAATCCCAAACAGAGAAGGACTTTTACCTTGTATTTAATTGTTTGCTGAGAACTCTTGTCCTTGGTCTTCAGAATAAGCATCTTGAATTCTGCCATCTATGTAAAACACATTCAGAACTAAGTAACAGAAGTCACTGTGCTACTAAAACAAACCTTGTTCCGAGGAAGCAAGCAGAGCATTCGCTTTATACATGATGGTGCGTAAGATCTGGCGGGCTCAGGGGAAATGATGAAGTGAGAACATAGGCCAAAATACCGTAATAACTGAGCTACACCAGAGACACGCTAGAGGAGGGGCCGTGAAAACAGTTTCTACCTTCCGTTTATAACTTGACATCTTTTGGACAAGTTCTTCATTGTCCTTTGTGGTATTCTTCAGCTTCTCAGCCATCTGCTGTTCAGTGACTATAAAAAGAGGAAAAAGCCAGCATTAGGAGCACTACATGGAACTGAGCTGCACAGTGTCTCAGCAGCAAGGACTCGCGTGAGGCTCCGTGAGAGACAGAGCTTCGCACAGCTACCTGCCTTTCCAGAGAGTCCCGCAGCTAACAGCAACAGTGCACAGGACACTGTTAAACTTTAAGAAAACTATAGTAACACTTGTTTTGACCAGATAGCAATTTACTGCAAAGGCAGGAGGTACAGTAAAATGTTACATAGTTGGAGAGGCTCACTTCACAAAAGGCACTTGTCCTCTGACAACGGAATCACTTCAAATGAATGTCATTTGCAAAGAGAAACAGCAACTTCAGGCTACTGATCTTCACTGCTGTCTCTCGAGCTCCTGTGCTGATGAACCTATAGGGGCCGAAGTGTCCCTAGCACAGACATACTGTCCTCTCTCCACACCTGTGTGGTCCAGCCACGCTTGGTCTGCTCCATGTAAGCAGTCACCCCCCTGCCCTCACATCTCGTACCTCAGCCAGTACCATCATCCTCCCCGCTATACCATGGTTAGTAGCAACAGTAAAATGTGGAGCAGTTAGTAAGTCATATCAGACACCAAAGTCACTGTGTCTCCTAGCCTGCCTAAAAGTCCTCCCAAACACCAACAGGAAGAGATTTACCTTGGTATATTCTCTCCTTCACCTAGAAGAGAAAGAGAATTAAATTTGATGTCAAACATTTGATTAAAAGAAATACATAGTTCCTGACACAAGTCAGGATCATAACCAAATGAAAATTTAGCAACTGTTTAGTTCAGGATAAATCCATACAATTAAAAATAGCTTATAAATAGCCTCTGGTACAGAATAACAGTAAGGAGTGTGACTTACTCCACAGCTACACACAGGTTTATGTGCCAGTACCAAGTGAACACCAAGCTTATGAGATGAGCCTTTGTCTTCAACATTGAAATGCTTGTTTTTATAATACGCACATTATTATTTACTCAGAATTACTTGACAATCCTGAACAGCGAGCATGCAGTCTAGAAATGGTGATCATATGAAAGATTGGCGAGCGAGATTACCAGCATAATCTTTGCACAAAGATACGGCTCTCACTCACTGGAAGATACCTCAGAAACCCTATTTCAAGTGATCTATTCATGCAATTAAGAAATAATTTAATACGCCTCATCATCTGCTTTCCCCAGACCACAAAAACAGTAATAAATCTAAGCGGAAGGGAAGACACCGGAAGAACACAGAGAAATGACAGCTAAGGGCTCCCAGGAGGAGCACAGACCCAGTTCTTCCTCCCAGTGACTTCTGGGGTCATAAATCCTAAACTGTAACTAATTAAATACCACAGCAGCGATCACTGCACTTCTCTGTAATACAGACTCTTGTCTTCTCCTTCCGAGTGCTATAAAAATGTGTAGGACAGCAGAGCGCAGTGGCCACGGGGTGGGGTGTGGGGGACGACTGTCCTCTCCAGGATGAGGAGTAGTGCCTCAGAGCCACGCGAGCTCAGGGAGTGGGAGGAAGTGAGCCCAGGTGCAGGGTGTGAAGCTGCAGGGCTGAGCCTGAGAGCCCTGCTGGGGAGCAGCTGCAGGGGAGCAGAAGGAGAGGATCAGGGGAGCAGCACGTTTTCACCCACACGCACACTTCTGCTTACCCTTCCAGGTGTTCTTTCATGCAAAAAGCTGTTCAGTGAGATTCTAGAAGTCCTCACAGGAATCTTTAATAAAGTGCTGTTTTGGGGTCGTTTTGGGTACCGCGGACAGGGCCTTCACAACGAACTACATTCTCAGCCTTCCCATTAATTCTTGAGACAGGCTCTTGGTAAGTGACCAAGTTGCCCAGGCTGGGCTCACACTTGCACTTCTCCTGCCTCAGCCTCCCTCTCCACCAGGGCTGCAGGAGTACACGCACCACTATGCCTGGTCTTGCCTCGAAGTTTCTACCATTTTACTGTGTTTCTTGCCCTGTACGTTTCTACAACACAGTTTATCGACACCTCACGGTCCATTTGCACTTTTCCCACTTCACGTTAAATTGTGAACCCCTTCTTTGCCCCCTGCCTTTGAAATACACACAGCAGCCTAATTATTCTGTTCTGTGGATATAAATAAGATGAAACATGATATTGCCAAATATAGATCATTTAGGTTTTGCCAACTTATTACTCTATTAAATCCTATTTCATCTAACGCCGTTGTATAAAATCTTAACATGTAATTTATTTCTTTAAGATAGTGTACTGATATTATCATACCATATGAAAAGAATTTATATTTCTTATCCTCTTTTGTATCCCATTTTAAAGGCTTGTGATATATAGAATTATTAAATGGCTTTTCAGGATGTCTGTATGAGTCCCCAACTCTACTAACAAGTGGATATGCTTAGCTTGCTCTTCAGTCCTTGCCAATATCAAGATTACATTAAATTATTTCAGAAAACTAGCTTGAATTATAACTACTGATTTGTTTATGTAAATAACCGAAAGGGCCAATGATAATAGAATGCTCGATGTATTCAGAAGTCAAAGACCAAGTTAATTCACTCACAGCAAGGACCGTCCTCCAGAAGAAAATGGGCAACGAAACGATTCCCAGACAGACAGTAAACAACACAGGGTTCCAGGGAAGCCCATAAAAGTCAGGCCCGGGCTGAACATGCTCAGGCAAGGTAGCAACCAGCTGAAAAGGGCGGGCACAAATAATGGAAACGTTAACAGAACTGGCAGAGCAATCACAAAGGATCATCACAGATACTCTCAATCTCCTCTCAATAGTCTAAACCACCTTCCAGGTGCCCTGATGAAACTGCGGGAAAGGGGATACAGGCAGGCTCGCGTTGTTGTCAGGTATGTGGAGTCTCTAAACTTAGGGAGTGAGTTGAGCCTATTTCCTAGTTGGCAACAGGCCCTTCTTCATCGCGGTGTCTCACACATGGCCAGAATGTGTCCGGATCATGCTTAGGTGAGCTGTTTTCTATTACTGCACACACGCACACACCCCACACATTGTAAATACATGATAGAAACCATCAGTTTATGCGGCTGCAAGCAAAACCACTATGACAATGATCGCCACAAATCAGGCATCAGTCCTCCAGGATGCTGTGTCTCAATTCGCTGCAACCTTAGGCTGCACACACAGGTGGGGCGTGAACGCGGCTCCCAAGGCGATGGCTGCCTTCGCCCCAGCCGCTTCCTCAGGACATCCCGCCCCTCTGTGGTCCACACCGCGCTCCTGCCTGCTGGTCGGGTACTGCTCTTCCGAGGGGACCCGCAGCCCGGCTCCCCCTGGCGGGCGACCCGCGCCCCTCGCCTGGCCCTGGTTTCCGGCCTCACCCTCAGCAGCCGGGCTATGAGGGCCGCGTACAGCATCTGCAAGAGGCTGCAGCAGCTTGGCAAAGCCCTGGGACACGGTGACCCCGAACCCAGTGGCTGACACCACGTCCATCGCAAAGGACCGTTCCCTGCGGACCGGCCGCAAGGGCCGACCCACAGCAGCAAGCACTGTCCTTCCCAGAGGCGGCAGGGGCGGGACTGCACAGCCACACCCTCCCCTTCCAGCTGAGCTCTGAGCCCTTAACACACGGTCTCCAGCACGATGGGGCCGCGTGCCTGCAGAGAGGGGCGGGGCCAAACCTGGGCACCGCGGGGGGCCGGGGGAGCGCCCAATGAGCGAGGCTGGCGGCTGCAGCGCCCAATGAGTGAGGCCGGGGGCGGGGTCCCGTGGCCGCAGAGCCACGCCCGCCGGGTAACCCAGCTAGGGCACCAGGCTCCCGCGCCCTTCCCGCTGGACCTGGGCGCCTGGCCTCGCGCGTGCCGCCTCGTGGCTCCCTCTCTCCCTACCCTTTGGTGAATGTTCTTAGATCTTAGCCTGGTATGTTTTTCCAGGCTGAAAAGTTCCGAAGGGTTGCAAATCAGAACCCAGTGGTACTGATCAGACTTCGAATTTTGTTTCGTGAGCAGGCAAGTGTTAGGAAACTAGTCGACTCTGTAGCTGCACAATGAAATTTCATTAATGTTTTGTCACCGTTGACTTACTCGTGACTATAATTGTCATCATTCTGTGTTGAAACTCCTAGTATAGTATATCTTTTCTTGTGCCGTGGCAAGCACCACTCTGCTTTGTGTTTCTTGGGTTTTTTGTTGTTGTTGTTTATTTTTTTTGTTGTTGTTGTTGTTTTGTTCTTGCCTTTTTGAGACAGGGTCTCCCTATGAAGTTTAGGCTAGCCTTTGGCTCACTTTGTAGCCCAGGCTGGTCTCAAACTTGTAACGATTCACCTGCCTCAGCCTCCTAAGTGCCGGAATTACAGGAGTGTACGGCCACAGCCGGCTTCTGCTTTATGTTTCTATAAGGTTGACTTACTAACAATCTGTGTACGTAGTGTTCTGTGACTGCCTTATTTCAGACGCATAATTTCCTCAAGATTATGGCTGTTGTAGCAGGTATCAGAATTTTGTTTCTTTTTAAGGTGACTAGTATTGAATTGTATGGATTTCTGTTTTTTAGTCCTTGTGCTGTGACTCAAATCCAGATCTGGACGCATGCAGAGGCAAATGTTTGCACTGGGCTCTATCCCAACTTGAATATTTGGGTTGTTTCCATTTTTTGTCTATTGTGAACAGTGATGACACGGACATATGTGTATATGCTTGCATGTACATTTTTTGAAGTCTATGGTTTTTTAAAATAGGATCTCACATGCGCCTAGGCAAGTACTCCACTATTGAGGTATGCTTCTTTTTCAGGCCTTTTTAAAGATTTCTTTTGGTAGTGGACTCTTTTTTTTTTTTTTTTTAATCTTTTCGAGACTGTCTCACTATGTAGTTCAGGCTGGCCTGAGCTCACTTTGTAGCCCAGGCTGGTCTGGAACTTGCAATCCTCAGCATCCTGAGTGCTGGGATTACAGGTGTGTGCCACCATGCTCGGCTGGTATTGGACTTTGATTCTTGTCTCTGTACTGAGATACAGCCCTGGCCCGTTTGTCTTCTTCTTCTTCTTCTTCTTCTTCTTCTTCTTCTTCTTCTTCTTCTTCTTCTCCTTCTCCTTCTCCTTCTCCTTCTTCTTCCTCCTCCTCCTCCCTCTGCTCCTCCTCTTCCTCCTCCTCCTCCTCCTCCTCTTCTTCTTCTTCTGTTCCTTCTCCTGCTCCTTCTCTTCTCTTTTCTTTTTTTGTACCAGCCAATTTAACTCACAACTTAACATTTGCCAAGTAGACACTTATGCCATTAAGCTAAACAACTGACCCCCTTTCTGCTTGTTCATTAATTTTTAACCTTGAGTTTTTTTCAGAGAGTGTTGCTATGTAGTTCATGCTGACTTTGAAGTCACTATGTAGTCCCAGGCTAGCCTCAAACTTGCAGGGATCCTCCTGCCTCACCCTCCTGAGTAACTGTGATTAGAAGCATGTACTACCATGTTCAGCTGATTTTTTATTTTGGAATAAGGCCTAAGTTCTTGCCCAGACATGACCCCAACCTGTAGCCTTCCTGCCTCAGTGCTCTGGAGTGCTGGGATTAGAGACATGGGTCACCCTATTTCGCTGTTTATTTTTCGTTATAGCTGTATTTTACAGGTTGGTCCTCCTTCCTCAACCTCTCAAATAACTGACATTGTTCATGTGTGCCACGTTGTCTGGCTTTTGATTATGTTATAGTTTGGGTTTTTAAAACATTTAAGTACCACAGCCGGGCATAGTGGCTCACGCCTGTAATCCCAGCCCTCAGGAGGCTGAGGTGGGAGGATCCTTATGAGTTCGAGACCAGCCTGCGCCACAAAGTGAGCTCAAGGCCAGCCTGAATTGCATAGCAAGACCCCATCTCAAAAAATACAAAAAAATTGTAAGTACTTTTTGTTGTAGATCTATAGTCTTCTTTTAACATGAACAATAGCTAAAACATTCTGTGTATAACACAAGTACTATACTCATTATTAGACTAACATTAGAATCCATGTTCTTGCTGAATGTGGTAGGCAGGTGCCTTCTAATTCCAGCATTTAGGAAGCTGAAGCAGGAGGATTGCTGCAAGTTCCAGGCCAGCATGGGTCACCTACTGAGTTCAAGGCCAGTGTGGCATATATAGTGAGACATTGTCTCAACAAAAAAAGAGGGGGAAAAATGATTTACTTGTTTTAACCTTTCAGAGATCAGTCCATGGTGGGCTGGCTCCAAGGCAGAAACTTCACGATGAAAGGGAATGGAGCAGAACTGCTCACTTCACAGCAATGGGAAGCAGAGCACAGGAGACAAGCCCCAAAGAGGAAAGGACCAGGCGCCCAATATAGTCTCCAAGCCAAACCTCCATGACCACTCAGATTGTATGCTTTAGTTATCCTGTAATGCATCTCTCAAGCCAATCAAGATTCACCATCATAATCCTAAATGGATGCTGAATTTTGTTAACTTTTTTTTCTCAATCCATTTGATAACACTCATGAGGGTAGATGTTTATGTAGTGTACACAAGAACCCCAACAGAAATGGATGAATTAGAGATACAAGTTTAGAAGGAAAAAAATCACTTTATTAGAAAGGGAAGTGAAATGAGGAAGCAAAATCATTTTATTGGGAGAGGAGAGATAGATAGATAGATAGATAGATAGATAGATAGACAGATGGATAGATAGATAGATAGATAGATAGACAGATAGATAGACAGATGGATAGATAGATAGCTACCTTATCAGAGTAAGGTAGGGAGCCAGAGCTGGCACAGGGTGGGGTGCGGTGGGGGTGTCTTTGTTCTCTACCACTTTTATAAGGCAAGAAAGGGACTCTTCCTCCTGGAGAGCTATTACAGCTTGACTGGCTGTTCTGGGGTCTGAGACACCTGATTTGGCCATTGCCCTTCCCTTGCCTACAAGTACATTGTTGGAGAAGCACTTGTTTGGGCTCTTTGTGCTGTCCAGGTGCTTATCTTGTGAGATTTACAGCAGGGTTACATTCAAGGCTGAATTAGTAAAAAGATACATGTACATTTGGTGTATTACTATAGTGAGAAATATATATGTATATATTTATACGGAACGATGTGTAAGTGTCTGGGAATGTGGTTTTTTAAATACTATAGACCCCTCCCACTTGTTTCTTTTGTGCTGAGTTGGAGATGGAGGAAGGAGGGAATTTTGTCATGGCATGAAGTGAGTCAGGCTGCCTTTTCAGCTGTTTTTCTTAGCTACTTTCATGAGTAGGAATTTAACTCTTTATTTGCCAAAAACTTCACCAAGTTTTCCTGCCTGTCCCCCAGTTTTCCTTACAAATTTATTCTTAGGCTATTGAGTTACATGGAATTTTTTTTGGTAATGTTGAACCAGTTTTGCATTCCTAGGAATATATGCCACTTGATCATGATGTGTTACTCTTTTGTATTGCTGGATTTAGCATCTATTTTTCTAAAAAACATAATTTTGTGTATATGTCTAAGATGGGTAGTGGTCTATAAGTTTTATTTTGTGCCTGTCTGGCTCAGTTATCAGAGTGCTATTAGTGTCATAAAATAGGGAACTACACTATTCCCTCTTCCATATCCTCATAGTTTGTATGAGGTTAGTATTGAGGATTTTGAATAGAAAAGGGTCACTGTCTGACTGAAGTCAGCTTTAACAGGCTGTCTCTGACTGTTGTGTTAATAGACTGAGGGGGCAAGGGCCAAAGAAGGAAGATAGAGGGGCTTTGGCAATCTTGGAAGGAGGCAAGAAAGGTTTGTTTAAAGTGGTAGCACTGGCAGTGGCAAGAGGGGAGCGGGTTCGAAACATATGTATAATATTTAGTCACT